CTCCCCCTCCCATTCCTCAGACGACATGTCCATCCTGGGCCTCCTGCAGTGCCACAACGATGCCACCCGAAGGTTGCAGGAACAGCAACTCATATTCCGCTTGGGAACCCTGCAGCCCAATGGTATCAATGTGGATTTCACAAGTTTCAAAATCTCCCCTCCCCCCACCGCATCCCAAAACCAGTCCAGCTCGTCCCTGCCTCCCTAACCTGTTCTTCCTCCCACCTATCCCCTCCTCCCCCCTCCACCCGCCCCCCCCTCTCCTACCGACCAACCTCATCCCGCCCCCTTGACCTGTCCGTCCTCCCTGGACTGACCTATCCCCTTCCTAACTCCCTACCTACACTCACCTTTCCTGGCTCCATCCCCGCCTCTTCGACCTGTTTGTTTCCTCTCCACCTATCCTCTCCTCTATCCCTCTTCTATCCGCCTCCCACTCTCTCCCTATTTATTTCAAAACCCCCTTCCCCTCCCCCTTTTCTGATGAAGGGTCTAGGCCCGAAACGTCAGCCTCTCTGCTCCTCTGATGCTGCTTGGCCTGCTGTGTTCATCCAGCCCTGCGCTTTGCCTATTCTGTTTTCTTTAGGCCAGGTGATCATTTAACATAGCATGAATTCTGCTGTTATTGGTTATATCATGCGAAAGTAAAGGTAGATATTTGTATCCTTGATAACAGATATCGGATGCGGAATAAGAAGATTAATGCTACTGTCAGGCCATTCCCTCTGTCCCAAGCTCTTCAGAACAAAGTTGGAATCACTAATATAATCACAACATCTGCAGGAAACGTAGTTTCTATGACAGGATCTACTGAAACCACTGTGAAAATGGTGCAGACGCCAAATGGGATAATTAGTCCAGAAAGTACTCCACAGCTAATACCACGCTGTGCAGATACCTCAGCTGCTTTAGAAACTGCTAAGAAAATTGGACAAAACTGCCTGAGTACATCTGGATCACTATCTGGTTCACCACCAGAGAAGTAAGATGCATTATTTTCTTCTGTAAAATTTCAGTTGCCTAAATTTTGTAATTCTACAACTTTGGGGCAGCACGGTGGCTCAGTGGTTAGCGTTGCTGCCTCACAGCGCCAGGGACCTGGGTTCGATTCCACCCTTGGGCAACTGTCTGTATGGAGTTTGCACGTTCTCCCTGTGTCTGTGTGGGTTTCCTCCGGGTATTCCGGTTTCCTCCCATGGTCCAAAGATGTGCAGGTTCGGTGGATTGGCCATGCTCTATTGCCTGTAGTGTTCAGGAATATGTAGATTAGGGGATGGGTCAGGGTGGGATGCTCTGAGGGTCAGTGTGGACTTGTTAGGTCGAAGGGCCTGTTCACACACTGCAGGGATTCTGAGATTCTATGAAATAAACTTGTGATCATTTTTGTCATCTACTGTGATCAGTCAAATGTTACAAACTGACATGCATGTTAAGCATCAGTGTTTTAAGTTAAAATTTCCAAATGGGTACATGTTAAAATACTGTTTTGCAGAACAATCATCCCATTTTATTTGGTTCATGCAGATTTGAGGCCACGTTTCCAACTCATCTCAAACAGGCAGATATAGTTTGTCTGACTAGTTTAGCACAAACTTGATGTAAAAAGTTTATAGTCTGATTTTCTAAGATGTTCAGTTCCAGATGTTGCCATGTTTGCCCATGGAGGTATAATGCAGTACTAAAGTTAGTCTAAAAGATATTTATTTCTGTGGAATTTCCAAATACACTTTCACATGAGATAGTATTTTCTTCAAGATGGATTGCAGCTAATCTTTTGAGATACTGAGATTATAATATCCAGTGTGAATGTATTAAATGGATTCATGCTACCTTAAGTTGCAGACCATGACATGTCATATTAATGTGTTGAAAGGTTGTTTGTTGCTATAGGCAACAAATGTTTAAATGCTTAGCAATATGATCACCATTCAGAGAGGGAGAAAGTAGTTTAACATTTCAATATGTACTTTTTAAGTATTCAAGAGTTCTGAAATTTTTGATTTTATTCTTCCTGAAATCAGCTGAAGTGAAAACAGTTCATTCCCATCCCTTTGGCTGTTTTAGGGCCTGAAAAAGGGATGAAAGTGACACAGCCAGTTTTTTTGTTTGAGAGACTGTGGAATGCACTGTCAATTTGGTTTATTTTCCATAAGTGTTAGGACATTTCAGCTCACTAATGCGTACAATGTATTTGGATTTGATTTCCAAGAAAGGACCTGAACTCACTAATACTGTATTGAAGTCCACACAACTATTTTTATTTCCTTAAAAAATATTTGACTCCTTTCAGGAGAAAATACTTCCGGCTCGAAAGGCTGAATTGCCCTGGGTTCTAAATAAGCATACAATTTATTGTTTAAAGATGTTCCTAAAAAAAATTCATTTTTAATTTTAATTTTCCCTTGGCATGTATGTTGGGGATCCTCATTATATCAGCTTTCATTTTGACTAGAATACCTCCCTGTTCTGTTTTAAACTAATCTCCATGGGTTCACAGCATATAAAGAGAGAACTTTTAAACATATCATTTTAACACTGATTAAGTTTTGCAAAATATATATAAACTATATTTCTCTGGGCCAGCTAAATGAAATATTGTTTTGCTGTCAGACTGTACATTTATTTTTCCAGTAAAGTTGGCTCACCTCCCAAGACCATTCTCAACCAGGTGCTCGCTACCCCAGCTGTAGTATCATCGCATATTGGGTCAGATGCAACTTCACTACCATCATCAAAATCTGTGTCAAGGGTGTCAGTATACCCATCCCAACAACCTGATTTGTATTATCCGGACCCCCGGACACCAGTTTCATATGAACTGACTGCTTATCACCAGCCAGGTAAGTCACTGCTAGAATGATGAGCAATAAAGTTTTACAGTAAGATGAAGCAATTAAACACATCCAATCTGTACAGACTCTGTGTTTTCTGAAACTGAACCCACAGTCTTGCAGTCTTTCCCCAGCTGTTAATCTCTCTGCTTTGAGTATTTAGGCACATTTTCCTTAAAGACATGATATCAAAGATTATTTTTACAACTTTACTTTTGTTTAACAAAATTACTCTTTGTATCCATCTTCACTTCCCATCTCTGAGGTGTCCTCTAGCTTCACAACCCTCCACTATCTGCAATCTAATTTTGGCCTCTTGAGCAATCCATTTTTGATCACAATTTGTGGCTGAATCTTCTTTTGCCTAGACTCTAATCTCTGAAATAATTTCCTTGCATCCCTCCACTTTACTACTTTGTTTTCCTCTTTTTAAGCTGTCATGTGACACATCCACTTTGACCAAGCTTGTAGTCATCTGACAGAATTGCATTCCAATATTCCAATCAGAAGTACAGCCATTGAAATGGAGGGCAGAGCTCATAGTCTGAAGTTGCTTCATCCTGAAGGCTATAAAGCAGACAAAAGGTCCAGTTCTCTGGCTTGTATTCAGCTTTCCTGGAACACCGTGGCAGACATGGGACAGAAATGTTAGCATGAGAGCAAGTTCTTATTTTGAAATGGCAAATGATTGGAAGGTTGTGATTATTTTTATGGACTGAACAGAGGTGTTCCACAAAGTGGAATATCAAGGCCATTATCTTGTGTGGCTTGGTGGCATATCTGTTATTACATTGCTGCTTTATCATAATTAGTGTTCAATGATATTAAAGACATTATATACATTTTGTAAATATATGGCATGATACTGTAGAGAAGTTTCAACCTAATCAATGTTCTTTTTGACAGTTTTGGAGAATTGGTCTGTCTAATTTTTATTTTAATTTAGTCTTTTCAAGTTGGGCTCGCTAAGGGTTTTATACTTTTAAATGATATTTTGTTTACAATTCAGATTAGTTAACTACTTCTCTTTGTTCTTTCAAATTTAATGCAGGAGGGTATTATCCTCCACATCCTGGTCTACCATCTGGTGTATCTCCTTGCCTTCCTCGTTACGTACGGCCCAACAGTATGCCAGAATCCCCACTTCCACCCACTGTGCCATACACTGACCACTACAATGCATATCCATCTCGGGATCGTCTAGCCTCTTCTCCTTACCCATCAGCAACTCCTCAACAGTATGGTTCAGTCCCAGCAGTGCATTCTGGAATGTATGCACCAGTCTATGATAGCAGACGCATGTGGAGGCCACAGATGTATCCACGGGATGATGTTGTGCGGAGTAATTCTTTACCTCCAATGGAAATGGTGCCTTCAGCTGCCTACCATCCTCCACCACGAGAAAGATACAGTTCACTTGATGGATATTATTCGATGGCTGGACAGCCAGCAAATGAACAAAGAAGCGTCAGCATGCAGAAGGTCAAGTAAAATATTGATTTTTCTGTTAATTGTTACTGTACTTAAATTTTTCATTTTCTTGCCTATCAATTAAAAATTTGAAAGAGTTTGGATTATAAAAGATTTTATTAGAATTATTGTTGTAGTTCACCTGTTGCATTTGAAACACTCGTCAGTTCCCTTTATCTCATTTTAACATTTCTGTTCGTGAGAGATGTACTAGAAGGTTCGAACTAGCAGTTATCCCTCAACAAAAGCCATCAGAATAGGTTAACTAACCAGTTATTTCATTACTTGGCATCACTAAACAAAACTTGATCACATTTATCTTAACAGAAATTATATTTATAAAAGTAATTGTAAGTACACTTCAAAAAGTAATTACAGCACTGTGAAGTTCTTTACTTTTTGTAATACATTCCTGGGATGTTGGTATTGCTGTTTGGGCCAGAATTTTTTGCCCATCGCAAGTCACCCTTGAGAAGTTGGTGGTGAGCTGCTGCTTTGAATTGCTACTGCCCATTTCGTTCAGGTAGACCCACAATGCTGTTGGGGAGGGGGTTCTAGGATTTTGGCCCAACAATGGAAGAATGGAGATAGATTTCCAAATCAAGATGGTAAGTGGCTTGAAAGGGAACTTGCAAGTGGTGGTGTTCCCATATATCTGCAATCCTTGTCCTTCTAATTTCTTCAGTGCATCTTGTAGATGGTGTACACTACTGCTGATCCTTGGTAGTGAAGGAAGTGAATATTTGTGGAAGTGGTGTTTTCTCCTGGAGGGTGTTAAGCTTCTTGAATGTTGTTGGAGCTGCACTTATCCAGGCAAGTGATGAGTATTCCATCATAATCCTGGTTTTTGCCTGTAGATGGTGGGCAGACTTTGGGAAATCAAGAGTGGAAGTAGTTGCTACAGGATTCCTGATCTGTTACAGCCATATAAATACAATGGCTGTACAGTTTGCTCAGAGTACATTCCTAGGATACTGATGGTGGGGATTCAGTGGTAATAATGCCATTGAATGTCAAGAAACAATGATTGGATTTTCTCTTGTTGGAAATGGTTTGTTCCTGGCATTTCTGTGGTGCAGATGTTACTTGCCATTTGTCAGTCCAATCCTGGATACTATCTAGGTCTTGCTACATTTGAATATAGACTTTGGACAATATCTGAGAAGTCACAAATGGCACTGAGCACTGTGCAATTATCAGCAAACAAACCCTGCTCTGATCCTTTAGTGGAGGGAAGGTCATTGATGAAGCAGTTGAACATGGTTGGGCCTAAGATGCTATCCTAAGGAGCGCCTGCAAAGATATTCAGGAGCTAAGATAACTGACGTCCAACAATCACAACTATTGGTTTTGTGCTAGGTATGACTATGTCCAGCTGAGAATTTTTCCCTTGATTCTCATTAACTGTAGTTTTGCTAGGGCACCTTGTTGCCACAGTCTGTCAAATGTGGCCTTAATGTCAAGGACAGCCACTTTTGCCCAACCTCTGAAATTCGAGTCCTTTGTCCATGTTTGAGCCAAAGCTGTAATGAGGCCAGGAGCGGAGTGGCTTCGGCAGAAACCGAACTGAGCACCAGTGTGCAGATTATTAAAAAGTAAGTGTTGCTTGATAGCAATATTGATGACACCTTCCATCTTTACTGTTGGTAGAGAATAGACTGGCCAAGTTGGATTTGTCCTCCTTTTTGGATACAGGAAGTACCTAGCCAGTTTTCCACACTGTCAGGTAGATCCAGTATTGTAGCTGTGTTGGAACAGCTTGGCTAAGGTAATGGCTAGTTCTGGAATGCATGTCTTCAGTACTATTTCTGAAATGTTTTCAGGCCCCATGGCCTTTGCCATATCTCCTGCCTCCAGTTGTTTCTTTGTAAGACATGGTGATTTGAATTGGTTGAAAACTTGCATCTGTGAGCTGAAATGTGTCATCCACTTGGCACTTCTGGCTGAAGATTATTGTTGTTTTAGCTTTACCATTTTGCATTAAGATACTGGGATATCCATCATTTTGAGGAAGTGAGTATATTTGTGGAGCTACCTCCTCCAGTGAGTTGTTTAATTGTCATCCACCATTCACAACTGGATTTGGAAGGACTGCAGAGCTTAGATCTGATCTGTTCGTTGTGGAGTCACTTAGTTCTGCTTATCACTTACCGTTTATCTGTTTGGCAAGCAGGTAGTCCTGTTTGTAGCTTCACCAGGTTGACTCCTCCTCATTTTTAGTTGTGAATGGTTGGCAGTCAATGGTGGATGACTCGTCATTTTTAGGTTTGCCTGGTACTGCTGCTAGCAAGTACTTGTGCACTCTTCATTGGACCAGAGTTGATCCCCTGGCTTGATGGTAACGATAGAGTGGCGGTATGCTGAGCCATTGAGGTTGCAGGTTGAGGTGGAAAATGTTTTTGTTTTTGCTGCTGCTGCTGATGGCAACAGCACCTCATGGATACCCAGACTTGAGTTGCTAGATTTGTCTGAAGTCTATTCCGTTCAGCATGGTGATAATGCCACAAAACACAGTGTAAGGTATTCTGTGAAGGTGGTGCTTTGATTCCACAAGGACTGTGTGACGGTCATTCTGACTGATAATGTCATGGAGAGATGCATCTGCAGTGGTAGTTTAGCTGGGTTTGATTTGACCTGCTGTTTGTGTATAGGGGAAACCTGGGCAATTTTCCAGCCAGTGTTGTGGTTGTACTAGAACAACTTGGCTAGATGCACAGCAAGTTCTGGGATGAATATCAACAGTACTATTACCAGAATGTTGCCTTTGCAGTATTCAGTGTCTATAGCAATTTTGTGGTATTGCATGGTGTGAATTGAATTGGCTAAAGACTAGCAATGTAATGCTGGGGACTTCTGGAGCAGATCATGGTGGATCCACTGGGGCACTTCTGGCTGAAGATTTGTGCAGATACTTCAGCCTTATCATTTTACTCTAATGTGCTGTTCTCCTTCATCATCGAAGATTAGAATACTTGTGGAGTCACCTCATCCAATGAGTTGTTAAATTGTCCACCACCATTCACAACATGGATGTGGTAGGCCTGCCAAACTTCGATCTGATCCATTGGTTGCGGAACCACTTAACTCTGTCAATTGCTGTACTGTACAAGAGTTAAACAAAGCAAGTGCTGCTAACTTAACAGCATTATGTTTTGGAAATATTGGAGGTTTAAAACTTAACAGACTACATTTAACATCTAACAGTTCTCCTATAATGCAATAATTGCATTCTTGCGTGACCTTGTGCTATAGAAAATCAACATTAAAAAAATCGCTGTACCTGTGCAGCAGAAAGTTTGCATTGTCCAAACAGTACACTATTCTTCAATCCCGTTACAGCCAATTCGCGTTAACTAAACACGTGTTACAGCAAAACTACCTGTACTCCCAGTCCTGTTTTTAATTCCACCCAAGAATTTCCCTGTATAATACAGGATCTTGGGTATACCTTCACTTTTCTTGGGACCGAATTGAGATTTGGCACTGCTTTTGGGATTTGTTTTGACTCTACTCGATATCCCAGCCTAGCACTTAGATCCCTAGAGCTTGCTCCAGTGCTCTTTCTGCAAGGATTCCTTTAGCTTTACCAGGCAGATATGACTATTTTAATTTCTCATCAATTTGGGCTTTTCATTCTGAATGTGAACCCTAGTTGCAATTGCTGTTGAATGACTCCAAATCGGAAACATTATGATGTCTGTGCTACTTGTTCTGGCTGCTGGCAGATATTCAACTAATCTTATATAGATTTGCTAAACACAAAAGAGTACTGTGCATAGATTAATTCCATAATAACGTGGCAGGCATGGCATGTTCTAAATAGAAATAAATGCATTTACCCCCAACTTCAAACCTCCTTTGATATGAAAAGTAAATTTATGTTTTACAGTCTTTCCTTATTGATCCATTGTTTTTAAACCTTTCTTTTGATCTGGGAAATTACAAGAATAATTTAAACCCCTTATTGAAGGTGACTGGAGACCTCCAATCTCCACCAGGGAACTCAGAAAAGGTATGACCATTGTTTTAATATTTTCCCAATTTTATCCCTGACCTTACTGAATAGACATAGATCGTCCTTTAAACTGCAATCACTTTGGGTATGTTTACCAATCCCTCAAAGTTTTTATTCTTTCAATTTTAAAACTAAAAATTATGCTATTCAAATGTATAAACTCAAAATATTTTTGCAACAACTATCTTTTAGTTTTTGAATTATTTTAATGGCTGTGTTTACTGCACACTCCACCCATACAGTCAGTGCCTGTGATGTCAATGAGTTTTTTTTTTCCAAATGTTTTCAATCAGTTTAAATTTTCAGATTTGAGATTTGCTCACTTCCCCATTCCCAATACTTACCACCACTTGGTGGTAAGTGGGATGGGACAGTGTGAGGTGGCCGTGGAAGTAGTGATTCAATGTGCTGAGCAGTGTGATGAATGGATGAAGGTAGTGTAGGTTTCTCCAGTGCTGTGGCCCTAGAGTGGAACAGTGGAGCACTGAGTGCAGCAGCATGTAGTAGAATAAGGGGAGATGATGGCCTAGTGGTATTATTGCTGGACTGTTAATCCAGAGACCCAGATAATGTTCTAGAGACCCAGGTTTGAATCCTGCCACGACAGATGGTGAAACTTGAATTCATTTAAATAAAATCTGGAATTAAGAGTCTAACGATGACCATAAATCCATTGTCAATTGTCAGAAAAAGGGAAGGAAACTGCCATCCTTACCTGGTCTGGCCTATGTGTGACTCCAGACCTACGTAATATGGTTGACTCTTAACTGTCCTTTGGGCATTTAGGGCTGAACAATAAATGCTGGCCTAGCCAGTGATGGTCTCATCCCGTGAATGGAAAAAAAAGGCAGTGAGAATTCCTCTGGTATCAGTGGTACTGCATACACATTATGGCAAAGTTGACACCGGGCTCCTGTTACAGTGCAGTGGCAGGTGATGCACAGTTATCCTAATCCTGGCAGTATTTCACCATAATGTTCTTTTATATTGAAATGACTTGGTTGCTTATGAATACTCCCTTTAGTGAGCTTTATCTCCATCAGTATAACCTTAAACTTACAATTTTGCCACCTATATATGGAGAATCCTAACACAGTATAATATTAGGTCATGTGTAATATTACTCATGAATAATCAACTCAAAAATTAATGAGCCAAGTAACAACTATGGCATAGAATAAACTGGCAGCCTACAAAAGCAAATTATAGTTGCTTTTCTGTAGGCACTTAATGTAATTAAAACAATTACTTCTGCAAGGGATCTTGGCCTTTGGCAGAAAGTGAACCTGAAGCTGCCTTGGTCTCTATGCTGAGCGTCATGCTACATGTATTTGTTCGTTGAGCCATTCAGAGAGGAAGTAAGATACTATACGCTTCTATTTGGATATGGATTTAAAAATTGAAATTTCTGATCAAAAATGCAAAGTAAACACAAATGTATAGCTAGTAAGCATTAATTAGCTAATGTTTAGAATTATGAAGTTAAGAATTTGTTTATTCAACTGTCATTTGTGCTTCCTATGTAGGATGCATTCAGCCGAATGCAGCAACCAGGCTTTGATGACCTGTTGAGACGGAAACCGGACCAGTGGACTCACTGTTCGACCCAGAAGCCACCTCTTGTCTCTTCTGCTCTGTCCACGGTCACCCAGCCCTCTGATCCTCCATCCCCCTTGTTCAGTGTAGACTTCAACTCTGAGGTGTGCAAGTCAAAGTGGAGTTTAAGCTTATTGCAGTTTTTTATAAAGATGGAGTATAATGATGGTCTTTCCTTTTCAATGTCAATAATGGTCTTTAAAATCTTCTTTGAAAGTATTTACTTTGTACATTCATACATTTATGATATGATATTTTTGTATAATTTTAGAAGTCCCTGACTGCCCTAATAGTAGGTTGTGTTGCCTAGGATAGAATTGTACCAAAAAGGTCTAGATCGTCTGATTGTAGTGTCTATGCTTGAGGGCGGGTGCTGCAGTTGAGTGCACAAGTATATATGTTGGGCAAGAACAGGTTTGGTATTGTTGTAATGTCCTTGTATTTACTAGTTCATTTAGGACAAATAGTAACATTATGCAGACACCATTCCTATTTAATACTCTCACTGCTGAAATTGTCATCATGATTTGCTTTAGTTAATTATCTTTGTCAGAGAGCAGTGCAAGTCTTGTTTCATTGGCACTCATTGCATAGATCATGTGGCTTCTTTATAAGTTGTCAGTTCTTTGGCAACCAGTTTCTTGTAAAACCGCAAGAATTAGCATTTCATCAGAGATGTGTTACACACCGAGCATTGTATAAGTCTCCTAAAACAAAGCATTTATTGCATTTTAACCACAGATATCGTGATACAGTTTAAACTAACAAAATTTCCAATTTGTTTGTAATAGCTGAAACTGTCTTCAGTTGCTCAGTGTTAAAATTGTTTTAACAAAATTCCAACTGAATTCAATCAATTTGTTGCAACCTTAACACTATAATTTGGGGTTGGCTGTCTTCTTTCATTTCAGTTTTTCATCTTTCTAGGAATGCATCTTGTGTCTATTTAGTCAGGCTGTCAAATGTAAAGCATGCCAAAATTTGTTCAACAGTATTTGTAAACTTTACAGAAATGCAAGAGGAAAATTATTTTAAAATACAAAATTTTGTGTTCTCTGTAAATGATAATATTTGTTTTGCCAATCATAGTCCTATTCATTCTTCTGGTTAACTTGCCATTTATCCATTGCTATCTGTTTGATTTTATTGCCTGGGCAAATGATCAGGTTTTGTTATTTGCCTTTATCACCTTTATTTATGACCTGTCAAAAGTAGCAACACCTACAGTATGTTCTAATTCCAGTGGACTTGCGTTTCCCCACATTTTGTTTTTTATAAAGTCACCATTAATGAAGTGTGTCATTTGTACGTTTCTCTCATTAATTACTGTTTTGGGAAAATACCATCAAGGAAAGATTTCTTCTGTTTGTTACAGAGGCTCATCATTCAAATAATGCAGGAAATCTTTCTCTTAATCCTGCATACACACTTACATACCACCACAACCAACACTTGCTGATGTTTCAATTATTCAGATTGGTCCCATCATTAAAAATAACAGTGGAACATGTGTCCACTTAATTAAATGCAGCTAAGTCATAACTTCTTTAAAATATCGGATTTACTGTTTTGATTGTAATACGCATTGTTTCCTTCAGCAGTTCTCTGAGAATACAAGTGATTTGTGTATGGGCACTAAATTTGAAGATGACAGCATATCCCATTATTCTCCATGGTCCTGTGGGACCATCAGCTCTTGCATTAGTGCGATGGAATCTGATCCAAAAGACATCAAGGCAACCACCAGTGTTGAAGTAATGGTAAGTCTCTCAGAACTCCTTTTGGAAAGTGTTCACTTCCCAAGGTTGTGCATTGTTTTATATTATAATGTACATTGTATATATGACAGCATTTCAAGAGGAACAAAAACAGAAGTTGCTGGAAAAGTTCAAGTCTGGCAGCATCTGTGAAGAAAAAAATCAGTTAACATTTTGGGTCCGGTGACCCTTTCTCAGAACCCAGTTCTGAGGAAGGGTCACCGGACCCGAAACATTAATTCTGACTTTTTCTTCACAGATGCTGCCAGACCTGCTGAACTTTCCCAGCAACTTCTGTTTTTGTTCCTGATTTACAGCATCCGTGGTTCTTTCGGTTTGCATATTAAGAGAGTTCAGTTAGCAATGATAATAAGGTATTCTACGTAGTAATACATTTAATTTCAAACTAACCACGTTATTGCAACAATCAGCAGTGTGGTAATAAGCAAAGAAAAAGTTTGGAATGAGCAGAAGAGAATGTTGCTTTCAGCCTTGGATCTACTGCCTTGTTTTCTTGGGGAGAGGGCTAAGATACCCTTCTCGCGTGGTTTGAAAAATTAAATTAAGGTAGCATGTTAAGAAGGGTCTTCAGTTTTATTAAAATATTTTTTCATGGTGCTTAGTAAAATTGGATAGTACTTAGTCTGAATAATTTGTGTTGTTTTTTAAGATATAATTACACTGTAGTTTTAAATCCACACACATACACAATGTGCCTCTTACTGATGTATGCCATTGTCCAAATGTTTCTTCTCCCAAAATCTTAATTTGAGTGTAGTGAAATAAGAATTGTAAGTTATACCTGTAAATAAAAGTATTTCATGTTTAGGGATTTTTTTTTTGTAGACTTCTATTTTAAATTTTCAATCAAGTCCTTTTTAGTCTTTTATAGTCATCGTAAGGAATTTGCCCATTGAAATGATAACGGAGAAGATATCTTCAATCAATAATATTACGTATGATTTTGCTGATTCAGATCTTTTTAGATTTTAAACTGTACAAAATGTTTCCAAACAGAATATTAACAATTTTAAATTAACAGTTAAAAACCATGCAAAAACTCCTTTATGGGTCAGTATATCTCATCTTAGACAACAGGTCTAAAACTGTTTTCCAGCTGTGATCTGACCTGTGACTTGTGACTTGTATAGTTTTAACAAGATTTTCCTACTTTATGTACCATTGCCTTTTGAAATAAAGGCCAATAATACATTTGCCTTCCCTATTACCTGCTGAACTTGGATGCTATCGTTTTATGATTCATGCAAGGGGACTGTCAAATTCCTCGGTGCTGTAGCTTTTTGCAGCCTTTCACCATTTAAATAATATTCAGATCTTCTGTTCTTTCTGCCAAAGTTAATGACTTCACATCTTCCCACATTATATTCCATCTGCCAAGTTTTTGCCTGCTAAAATAACCTTCCTGCTTATTTTTGTCATTCACAAACTTGGTGATAGTCCATTCACTTCCGTCATCTTTTAACATATATTGTTAATGATTGTGGTCCCAACGCTGATCCCTGTGGCATTCAGTTAGTTGCAGGTTGCCTTGCTGAAAATGTCTCCCATCTTCTATCCATGCTAATATATTGCTGCCAACACTGTAGACTATTATGATATTAAATAGTCTTCTATGGTGCCTTATCAAGCATGTTTTATGAAACCAAATACAATACAGCTACTGCTTCCCCTTTTTCGATCTTGTCTGTTACCATCTCAAAGAAGTATAATAAATTTGAGGCTTGATTTCCACTTCATGAAGCCATGTTGTCGCTACTTGATCTTATTATGCATATCTAAATACTCTGCTTTTACACTCTTTATAATAGACTGTTAACATTTTCCCAATAATTTACTGTATTTTCTTGTCTCCTTCCCTTTTTGAATAAGTGTGTTACATGATCACTTAAATTGTCAGTCATACAGCATGGATGACCCTTCACTCCAATTAGTCCATGCCGACCATGTTCCCAAACTAAACTAGTCCCACCTGCCTGTGTTTGGCCCATATCTCTCCAAACCTTTCCTATTCATGTTCTCATCCAAATGTCTTAAGTTGTAACTATACCTGCATTCACTACTTTATCTGGCAATTCATTCCACACTGTGTTTTAAAAAAAAAAGTTGCCGTCTTGTCCGAAGAACAGTACAGCACAGGAACAGGCCCTTTGGCCCTCCAAGCTTGCGCCAACACATTTTGCCCTTCCATATTAAAACTGTCTTCACTTACATGTCCTGTTTAAGTCTTTCTCCTCTCACACTAAAAATATGCCCCCTAGTTTTAAACTCCCCCACCTTAGGGAAAAGAGTTTTGTTATTCACCTTATCTATGCCCCCTCATGATTTTATAAACCTCTGTAAACTCATCCCTCAACTTCCTATGCTCCAGTGGAAAAAGTCCCAACCTATTCAGCCTATTTTTGTAACTCAAATCCTCCAGTCCTGACAACAGTCATCTAGGACTTCTCCTGAATCTAAGGATTCTTGGAAGATTAATACCAGTGCATCCACTGTTTTTATAGCTACTTCCTTAGGTATCCCCAAATGCAACCCATCAGGTCCAGGGAACCTGAGATAACCAGGTGTAGAGCTGGATGAACACAGCAGGCCAAGCAGCATCAGAGGAGCAGGAAAGCTGACGTTTCGGGCCTAGACCCTTCTTCAGAAATGGGGGAGGGGAAGAGGGCTCTGAAGTAAATAGGGAGAGAGTGGGAGGCGGATAGAAGATGGATAGAGGAGAAGATAGGTGTAGAGGAGACAGACAGGTCAAAGAGGCGGGGATGGAGCCAGTAAAGGTGAGTGTAGGTGGGGAGTTAGGGAGGGGATAGGTCAGTCCAGGGAGGACGGACAGGTCAAGGGGGCGGGATGAGGCTAGTAGGTAGGAGATGGGGGTGCGGCTTGAGGTGGGAGAAGGGGATAGGTGGGAAGAAGGACAGGTTAGGGAGGCGGGGACGAGCTGGGCTGGTTTAGGGATGCGGTAGGGGGAGGCGAGGTTTTGAAGCTTGTGAAGTCCACATTGATACCATTGGGCTGCAGGGTTCCCAAGCGGAATATGAGTTGCTGTTCCTGCAACCTTTGGGTGGCATCGTTATGGCACTGCAGGAGGCCCAGGATGGACATGTCGTCTGAGGAATGGGAGGGGGAGTTGAAATGGTTCGCGACTGGGAGGTGCAGTTGTTTAGTGCGAACCAAGCGTAGGTGTTCCGCAAAGCGGTCCCCAAGCCTCCGCTTGGTTTCCCCAATTGTAGAGGAGGCCACAACGGGAACAGCAGATACAGTATGCCACATTAGCAGAGGTGCAGGTGAACATCTGCTTGATGTGGAAAGTCTTCTTGGGGCCTGGGATGGGGGTGAGGGGGGAGGTGTAGGGGCAGGTGTAACACTTCCTGCAGTTGCAGGGAAAAGTGCCGGGTGTGGTGGGGCTGGAGGGGAGTGTGGAGCGGACAAGGGAGTCTCAGAGAGAGTGGTCCCTCTGGAAAGCAGATAAGGGTGGGGAGGGAAAAATGTCTTTGGTGGTGGGGTCGGATTGCAGATGGCAGAAGTGTCGGAGGATGATGCGTTGGGTCTGGAGGTTGGTGGGGTGGTACGTGAGGATGAGGGGGATTCTGTTTTGGTTGTTATTGCGGGGAGGGAGTGTGAGGGATGAGTTGCGGGAAATGCGGGAGACACGGTCGAGGGCGTTCTTGACCACTGAGGGGGGAAGTTGTGGTCCTTGAAAAACGAGGACATCTGAGATGTTCGGGAGTGGAATGCCTCATCCTGGAAGCAGATGCGGCGGAGGCGAAGGAATTGGGAATAGGGGATGGCATTTTTGCAGGAAGGTGGGTGGGAGGAGGTGTATTCCACGTAGCTGTGGGAGTCGGTGGGCTTGAAATGGATATCGGTTAATTTCCCTAGTACTCTTTCTCTAGTACTAGACATTGTATTTTCTTTCTTCTTCGTTTTTACCTATTTATTTAGTATATTGGAATGTTTTATTAATGTCCTCTATCATGAAGACTGATGAGAGGTACTTATTCACACTTCTTACTTTTCCTGGATTCCCACTATTTCCTGAGCCACCACCTCTAAGGGATCTGTGTTCACTTTGGCTATGCTTTTCCTTTTTATACACTTTAAAGAAACTCTTACTGTTTAAAGTTTTTGCGAAGACTTACAGCTCGGTTTGGGGTGAGGTTGTTGATTTTGTTCGCCAAGCTGGTAGGTTGGTTTGCAGATGGAGGCTTCATCGGAGGCGCACTGATAATGTCACCTAGTATGGTGATGAAACGTCTGTAAACCAACCTACCAGTTTGGCAAACAAATCAATGATGAAGGGTCTAGGCCCGAAACGTCAGCCTCTCTGCTCCTATGATGCTGCTTGACCTGCTGTGTTCATCCAGCCCTGCACCTTGTTGTCTCAAACTCTTACTGTCTGTTTTTATATTTCTTGATAGTTTACCCTCATAGTTTATTTTCTCCCTCTTTATTATTCCTTTGGTCATCTTTGGCTTTTTAAACTTTCCCAATCTTCTGGTTTAGCACTAATCTTTCCCACATTGTATTTCTTTTTATTTTGTTTTTGTTACTATCCTTAACTTCCTTGGTTAACTACTGTCAGTTTATTCCCTTTCTGGAATCCTCCTTTACTGGGATATATCTGTGTTGTGAGTCATAAGCATTTTTCTTAAATGTGGATCATTGTTCATCAGCAGTCTTTTCTGCTGAACTTCTTTTTTGAGTTCACTCCAATCAAGCCTGCCCTCGTTTCTTTGTATCATCCTTATTTGCAGGTACATTGTTTCTGACCCTCGTTTCTGACTCTCGGAATGAATGCTAAATTCTACCGTGTTATGATTGCTGTTTCCTGGGGAGTCTTTTACTCTGAAACAGTTTATTAAATCTGCTTCATTACACATGTACCAGATCTAAAGTAGCCTAATCCCTGGAATTTTCTAGTTCTTGAAAACTATCACAAATGCACTGTATAAATTCTTCTTCGTGGTTATCTCTGTCAACTTGAC